AATGTTAGTAAGAAACACACCCTCCCTGGTATTATTTTCCCTTTTAACCCCTCCTCCATTCCTGCTTGTTCCCCCTTTTATTTTGGTGTATTTCTACACCAAATTATTTGTGTGTACTTAGTACCCATCCCTCTTTTGCCTTTTCTGATAAGAATGAGGTTAACATATGACCATTTGCTCCATCCTTTCCTCTGTGTTTGTGATTTCTTCTTGTGGAACCCCTTTATGAGAATATATTCTTCCTTTTTACCATTCCTTCTGTTTCTCCTCTTAAAACTGTCAGAATAGAACCAGTTCACTTCCAGGGCCTCTGTTTTCATTATTCAATTCCCTTAGTTCCCTTGGAAGACATTCAGTTTTTGAAGGGACACTTGTTTCTTCTCCCCCATTAGAATGTTAGCACTGCATCATTATACAGCTTCTTCTGGTTGCTCAAATAAATTTATTCTTTCTAGGCTTCTCTTGACTCTTGCATTTTGTCTGCTTTCTTAAAGATCTGTTTTTTTCTCTGTATTGTTATACTTAACTTTGCAGTGTAAGATATTCTTGGTTTTAAGCCTTTCCTCTGCTCCACAAATCTCAGGTCTTGGAATTTTTACATATCATTATATGGCATGAGGTAATACTTAAAAGCGCTCAGGAGTTCAGTAGTCAATGAATACTCATTCACCCAGAGAAAAACTAATTAAGAAGGAAGAAAGTCACAATGGTTCTAAGGTTAAGAGAGCAATTTTATAATCAATACAATCATTAATAGCAACCCAGTGAAGCAGTTGGACTGTGGGTGTTAGCTGCTGATGAGGTGGTATGTGATCAGATTACTGAAGAATCCTGGCTGCAGTCAGTGGGAACTTTTTCTGCTCCTTGAAGGAAGATGAGCCAACATATGAGGCTCAAATGGAAAAACAAATAAAGGAATTTCAGAGTTAATGCTTATGGAACATTTGTAGACAATGGCAAGCTCAAGAATATGGCCATCTCTGTAGCTGCAGTACAGTAGGACAGTAGATCATGGGAATTAAATATAATGAAGAATTGAGAAGTTATATATATATATCTTTGAAGAGAATGTGTGTGTGTGTGTGTGTGTGTATGTATGTCTCTTAATATGTGGGCAAGGGTTGCTGTGGACAGACACTGTGAACTAGTCAAGGCACTCACCGAGGAATGAAAGACAGTTTCCTGGGGGTCAGTAGATGGTGGCTACCAAGATCTGGATTGGGTGATGGATGAATCAATAAAGCATTTATTAAGAGCTAATTATGTTTCAAGCACTTTGCTAAGTGATGAGGATTCAAATAGAAAAGTAAGATAGTTCCTGCTTTTAGTAAGCTTGCATTCTAGTGTTGGAGGAAACATATCTGGAAGGCTTCACAGCTGGAAATGTCCAATAGTTCTTAGGGGCACAGTGGCAAAGCAAATGGTAGTGCCTTTTCTTTAATGCCATTTTCCAGTGATGAAATCATGTCAGTTTCTCATGTTGAACTCTTTGACAGTGCCAAGGACTTTAGTGACAAGAATTTTCTTTCTTGTGTCTTCACTAGTTTTGATTTATTCCCAAGGTTCTTGGGTTTGGGGTCTTTGGCTATCTCCATCAGGATACGAGGGGATGTTGTCAAGGGAATGGTGGTGATTTGACTTGCCCGGCACAAGCTGGAGCTGGCTTGCCTGTCCTGTGAGTGGCAGTTGGTTGAAAATTGGTGGGGTAGCTATCCTCTTCTCCACAGGAGTTGCTTCTCTGTATGATGATGGAGACGCCTGTACTGGAATCAGGACTAGTGGTCTGAGGGGTGTGTGTGTGTGTGTGTGTGTGTGTGTGTGTGTGTGTGTGTTGTCATTCTCAGGGTTCTTGTGTTTACCTGCCTGTTGGATAAATTTGTTGTGATAAATTTGCATAGCTTGAACTCCTCCAAGGAGGACATGTATGTTTTATTCATCACTTTTAATCCTTACTAACTTCAGGGTTATTATGAGGAAAGTGCTTTGTAAACTATCAGTGGCTATTTAAAGATGAACTCTTGGGGTGTGTGAAGCATGCATTACTTCCTGTAGGTATTCTAGGTATTATGAGGAATATTTCCAAGACATATTTCAACACTGAGTTAGAGCATTGTATTATTAACCTTGTATTCCTCAACATTCAATTTACATTGTGTTCTGATGATTTAATGAAACAGCTATGGACTTCAACCTACTTTTCCAGCTTGGCTGCCTTGTTTAAATGAAGACATTTCAGAAATAGTAGGCATATTCCTTCTAAAATAAAGCAAAAGGTGAGGTTGAATGAAGAGTTAAAAGAAAGGACATTATCCTCCTAGGGAAAGAGTTGCAAATATATACTTATGTATATTTATGTGTGTATTTATCTCTTTTTATGAGGGGCAGTGTCAGGGAAATGATGAGATTAGAGGGAGGGGGAAGAAATTAGGAGAGAATCAAAGCAGTTCTTAGATTTATTTTATTTCTCCTGAGATCCAGGATGGTAAGCTTAAATAGGCTGAGAAAAAAATTAGCAGAGGAATGTACTGAATCTCACCTTAAAGTTCATGCTAAAGTAGTTTTGTTTTTCTTTAACCTCCTTAGAGCACTTGTTTCTCTATTAATCCTGAGGATCTTAGGCTGTTGTTCTGGCCATGGAGCAATGCCTAAAGTAGTTTCTTAAAGCTGCTTAGTCACTAATCTCAACCTCGCCCCCCCTCCCCAAAAGATCATATTTATGTTCCAGCTAGGCCATATGAACCTAGGAGGGGGCAGGAGGAGGGAGGGAGGGAGAGAGGGAGGAGAGAGAGAGAGAGAAAGTAGAGAAGAAAAGAGAAGAGGAGAGAAGAGAAGAGAAGAGAAGAATTGAGTTTCTAGACTATATGGGTCAGTGAGCTTGATTTCCATTCTTAGGACAATTCTAGAGCAGATCATTAAATAAATCATTAATGAATATGTAGTGTAGGGAACAGTGATTACCAAAAACCTCATCGTTTCATGGTCTCACCACGGCCAGCTTTTGCCATTTCCCATTTTGACCAGGTTACTAAACTATTGTATCAGGGGAACACTAGATATGGTGTGCTTAGGTTGTGGCTAAGTATTTAATAAAGGATATCATACTATTTTGGTAGAAAAATAGAGAGAGAGAGAGAGGTAGACTCCCAGGAATACAGTCTGGTGGATTTGGAATTGGTTGAACGACTGGTATATTCATTAAGGGTTCCATATTCGACAGCACTGGGGATGTGCCCCAGGAACTTGTGCTTGGCCCTATGCTATTTTGTCAGTGCCCTGGATAAAGGCATAGATGGTATGTTGATCAAATTTTCAGATGACACAAAACTCAGAGGAATAGCTAGCACTCTGGATGACAAGTCAATATCCAAAAATATCTCTACAGGCTAGAGCATTGGGATGACTCTTAAGAAGATGAAACTAAATAGGAATAAATAAGTTTTAGAGTCTGATTCAAGAAACTCAATTTTACAAACACAAAATGTGGAAGACATAGATAATAGTTCTGAAAACAGGTATTTTGGGATTTTAGTGGACTGCAAGTGCACTACGGTTCTACAGGATGAGGGTGATATTGGGAGAAGCATCAATTTTAGGAATAAAGAGGTGATGGTCCCTCTGTGCTCTGCTTTGGCCTAATCTTATCTGGAATATTATTGTCCATTCTGTGTGCCATAGTTTAAGAAGGGCTAGAGGAAGTCCAGAGGAGGGTAACCATGACAGTGAAGGACTTTTGGGTTCGTATTATATAAGGATCAATTGAAGGACCTGGGGAAGTTTAGCCTAGAGAATAAAAAAGTTTTTAAAATACTAAACATGAGGAAGAGGTATTAGCCTTGTTCTTCATGGTCTTAGAGGGCACAAAGAGTAGTGGTTTGAAGTTGGAGAGGCAAATGTTAACTTACTGTTCGGAAAAAAAATGTCTTAACAATTAGAGCAGGGCAAAAGTGGGATGCAAAAATGGAATGAGGGTCAGGGAGGTGGTGCAGTGGATAGAGTGCTGGGCCTGGGGTCATGAAGACTCATCTTCCTGAGTTCAAATCTGGCCTCAGACACTCACCTGTGTGACCATGGGCTAGTCACTTCACCCTGTTTGCCTCAGTTTCCTATCTATAAAATGAGTTGGAAATGACAAACCACTCCAGTGTCTCTGGCAAGAAAACCCCAGATGAGGTCACCAAGAGTCAGACACAACTGAACAACAACAAAAATGGAATGAGCTGCCTCAGGAAGTACTGTTTCTCCCACTCATTGGATGTCTTTAAGGAGAGGTCATATGACCCCTTGTTTGTTATGGTAGGAAATCCTTTTTGGGGCCGATTGAATAAGGTATCTGTTGAAGTCCCCAAATTAAAATTTGGTAACTATAATTTCATGATTCTGTAACATACTAAGTTTTCTCTTGCACCTGAGAACTTAGTATTCCATCATTATTGGGAAATTCAGGAAAACCTAAATTACTCAGAAGAATTGAGCCCTTGCTGCTGTAAGCTGATTGCTTGTTGTTCAATTTTTTATTCCTAGCCTAGGGGACTTGTACTTTAGGTGATTTAAAGATATTTATTGAATGGAATTGAATGGGGGGTGGAGAGTATTCATAGAGAGTGGATGGAGGATCAAGTGAGGGAAGAGACAAAGAGCTACTGGAAAAGAGGAATTATTTTTGGAACTGTTTGTTTGAATTAATCTATAATCAAATGATCAAAAGTTTGCACAGCTACATTATGGTATGTTTTCCCAACACCGTGATTTCTGTAAGCTTTCAATTTAATTCTAAAAAGAAACACAGACTGACTCAGGAAAGCTGAGATTAGTTCTTGGATTGTGTAAGTGTGGATATTTTAAAAACTGATGATATGGAAACTCACCCCTCCAGAATGTGTCTTCACATGGCATAACTGAATCACTGACATTTTCAGTGAGAAAGTACAGGACACCAGAGGGAAGACATTTGGGACTGTCGTGGGAACATGTTTTCATTCTTACTTTTTGCTCTCTTCCAGGGTAAATGGGAAACTTGTGGCTCTGAAGGTGATCCGGCTCCAAGAGGAAGAAGGCACTCCCTTCACAGCGATCCGGGAAGGTAGGCTTTTGTCCTGACTCTTTGGGATTTCACTCTAGGCTGAGCCATTGAAAGAAATGGACAAGGATGAGTTTTATAATTTTATAAGTAAACTACTTCGGGGAAAATGAAAACTGGTCATTTAAAAATCAAAAGTGCCTTCTCGTATGTGAATTTATTATAAAGAGAATATACCCATTCCTCTGTATCTAGGCACAGAGGAAGACATTTGAATGTTGGTAGTTACAAGTGGGCTCATTTTGAATATCTAGAGGTGGTGGTGATGTCATTGCAAGTAGCAAGGGAAGAGGTGTGTGTGTGTGTGTGTGTGTGTGTGTGTATGTGAGTGAGAGAGAGAAAGAGAGAGAGAGAGAGAGAGAGAGAGAGAGAGAGAGAGAGATTAACTGGCGGGAAGTAATGTTCTGACCTCATTTTGACTTAATGTTTATTTATTTTTTGATTGCTTGAGTATGGAGAAGCCCCCAAAGAGGCTGTATGGTGCCTGGGAAGGAGCAGGGGCTGCTTATTGATGAAACATACCAGGGCTTATGGTCTTTGAGCAATCACCATGATAAGTGCCAGACATAAAAAAAATAGGAATCAATAATTAAGAGGGAGAAACCACTAAATGAAACTAGCATACCCTAGTTAATCATTATGTTTCAAGACCCAAATTCTGCCTCTACTTGCTGATGGGGTCCACTACAAGTTTGTTATGTCATCTGAACTTGGACTTCACTAGTGCATGCCAGATTTCTACCTGCTTGGAGAATTCTAAGACTTCAATCCTGGTTCTTAACTAGAGAATCAAGAAGTGAATCTCTCTTACCTCTTTTATCATGTTAAAATATTTCTTAATATCTGTTTTTTTAAATATTAATTTATTTTTATTTATCAACAATGACTTCCATAAGCGTTTGAGCTTTAAATTTTTCTCCCCCTCCCTTCCCACCTTCCTCCCCAAGGCATCATGCAATCTGATATAGGATATACATATACATTCCTATTAAACATATTTTCACATTAGTGATGTTGTAAGTAAGAATTAGAACTAATAAAAGGAACCACCAGAAAGAGGAAACGAAACACAACAGAAGAAAAAATAATAGCAAATAGTATGCTTCGATGTACATTCAAACTCCATAGTTCTTTCTTTGGATGTGGACAGCATTTTCCATTATGAGGCCTTTGGAGATGTCTTGGATCCTTGTATTTGCTGAGAAGGGTTAAGTTTGTCAATATTAGTCATCGCACAACATGGCTGTTACTGTGTACAGCGTTCTTCTGGTTCTGCTCACTTCATTCAGTATCAGTCCATACAAGTCTTTCCAGGTTTTTCTGAAGTCTGCCTGCTCATCATTTCTTATAGCACAATAGTATTCCATTACATTCATATACCACAACTTGTTCAGCCATTTCCCAGTTGATGGGCATCCTCTCAATTTCCAATTCTTTGCCACCACAAAAAGAACTGCCACAAATATTTTTGTACATCTGTGTCCTTTTCCCAATTGTATGACATACGGGCCACACGCCGACCCTCTGCCAGTCATGCACCAGTACCCACTTCTCTTAAAAGAAGTGTACTGCCAGAGTCTTACCCACTCCTGGGTCTTCGGTCCTCAGCCGGATCACCACACAGAGACAAGCCATCGGGAGGCACCAACACCAGAGCTTTATTCAGAGGCCAACACAGCAAACCATCATAGCAAGCCCAAACAGCAAGGCCAGAGCAACAGGGCAGGAGCCAGGGGAGAGCGCACGTGTGTGCTCTGACCACGCTTGTTCCTAAGTACCTACTTAGCCCCTCCTCCCCAGCCCGCTACTAGCCAATGATTGTAGGGTCAGATACTGGAAGGGGCTGTCTGAGTTTAGCACACCAAGGGGGAGGGAGTGACGTAGGAGGCCAGGATTGGATACAGGAAGGAGGCATCTGGGATTGACGCATGGACAAGAGTACGTGACCTAGGAAGTCAGACTCAGGAGGGGACTGGGTCAGTGCTGCACAAAGGGACCCGGAAGTCAGGAAGGTCACAAGAGGCATCTGGGGATGACGTTGCATATAGGGAGGGGACTAAGCAGAGGGAACTCAGTCCTCTGCCATCCCACTCCCACGTGGCACCGCCCCTTGCCTCAGGAGCTCAGGCTCGGCTACTTCCTTGCACCCAGCTTATCTCATAGCACTGCCCAATTGCCTCATGGCTTCTCCGTATCCAGCCCATCCCAGTACACACGACTCTGCCTACCACAGTCCCTGCCTCGACTTCCAAAATACCCAGATCTTACCTTACCCTTGCCACAGCACCCAGCCTGGTAGCTGCCAACATCAGACAGTCCCTCACAGTATGATCTCTTTGGAATATATAGCTCTAGAAGTGCTATTGCTGGGTCAAAGGGTACGCACATTTTTATAGCCCTTTGGGCATAGTTCCAAATTTCTCTCCAAAATGGTTGAATCATTTCACAACTCCACCAACAATGCATTAGTGTTCCAATTTTCCCACATCTTCTCCAACATTTGTCATTTTCCTGTTTTGTCATGTTGGCCAATCTGAAAGGTGTGAGGTGGTGCTTCAGAGTTGTTTTGATTTGCAATTCTCTAATTAATAGTGATTTAGAGCATTTTTTCAGATGACTATAGATGGCTCTATTTTCTTCATCTGAGAACTGCCTGTTCATATCCTTTGATCGTTTATCAATCGGGGAATGACTTGTATTCTTATAAATTTGACTTAATTCTCTATATAGTTTAGCAATGAGGCCCTTATCAGAGAGACTGGTTGTAAAAATTCTTTCCCAATTTTCTTCTTTCCTTGTAATCTTGGTTGCATTGACTTTGTGCAAAACCTTTTCAATTTGATGTAATCAAAGTTATCCATTTTACATTTTGTAATGTTCTCTATCTCCTGTTTGGCCATGAATTCTTCTGTTCTCCATTAATTTGAGAGGTTAACTATTCCTTGCTCTCCCAGTTTGCTTACAGTATCAGCCTTTATATCTAAATCATTCCATAAGCTTTTGAGTTTAAAATTTTTCTCCCCCTCCTCAAGACAGTGTGAAATCTGATATAGGCTCTACATATACATTCCTATTAATATCTGTTGTTTTTAAGCCTCCTAAATCACCCTCCCATCCCTTTTCCTTCCCAGAGAGCCATTTCATCTAACAAAGATTTTTTTTAAAGAAGAAGAACAAAAAGAGGAAAAAACATTGACTATTTATCAATGCATCAAAAGCTCTGACATTATATGTAATATTTCCAACCTGTAGACTGCCTAACTCAGTAAAGTAATGGGGAAGAATTGTCTTTTCAATTGGCAAAACTGATCTTTGTTTTCCAGTGGGTGAGCTGGGTGACTAGACTTTTTCCCCAAGCAACATGTGGAGTAGAAAGAGAGTTAAGTGAGGAAGGAAAACACAAGTGGAAGTAGCTGGAAGGAAGGAGAATTTCATTCATTCTTGGATGGTTTTCACATAGTGTTCCCTAGTTAGACAACTTGTGCAATATTGCACACCCATTTCTGGATACCATCTTTCACTAATTTTTTTTTTTATTTTATCTTTTTTTTTTTTTTAACATCAATAGAATTCCTACAAGTCATTTCCTTCCCACTGCACTTCCAAGAAGATCATTGTGGGTACTATATTTTAGCAAGGAGACTGATAAGCTCAAGTTTCATTAGAAGGACCTCAAATTCATGTCACATGGATCAATAACTCTGTGAATTTTAGGATCAATTTGGGATCTTGAATTTTAGCCTAGAGAGTTGATGACTTAGTGGGAACATGTGTGGATGGAGATTTGTAGTTGTCTTACATTATTGTGGAGGTTCTCTTTTTTCTGCATGCTCCCAGAGGATAAAACTAGAACCATTGGCAAGAAGTTCTAAGAAATTAGATTTTGATTCAGTATAAGGAAAAACTTACTACTCAATAGAGATGCATCAAAATTGAATGCATTGCCTCATGAAGTAGTGGATTTCTTGTTTCTACGAGTATTCTATTAAATGTCCGATGGATATGTATTGAGAATAATGTAGACAGAATTCTTGTTTCAAGTAAGGGTTAGACTAGATGGTTTTTGGGGTTCCATCCAACACTGGAATTCACTGTTGGTAACATATGAAAAGTACTGAGTATTATAAAGAATAAGTGATATAGTATTAATGAGACTGAGAAATCATAATGGGTTGGGGTTACAGAGAATACCCTGGAGAGATGGGATGTAAGCTGAGTATTAGGAGAACTGTAGGAATCTATATAAGTGGAAAGGAAGATATGAGGCAGAGTATATAGCATGTGTAAAGGTTCCTGGCTGGGAAGGTTGAAAAGGAGTTTTGGAGACAATGACACCAGAAAGATGAGAGAGAACTAGGTTGGAGATGTAGATTTTGGAGTCATCTATGTATGAGTGAGACACCCAGAAGTATAGAGGAGAATAAATCTGCTAAAGTAGTCAGTAGCAAAACCCTTAGTCTCATATCTGTTTAAATATGGCAGCAAGGAAGATGAGCTAGAGGTCCTAATGCCATGACCTCAGAAGTATCACAGAAACTTGGTGGTGTGAGACCCATGACTGCAATATAGATCTTGTTGGGTATACTTAATTCAAATAAAACGTGGTAGGTAAAAGGGGTGTGGTAGCATTGTATATTAAGTTATACTTTTATGAAGACAGTGGTCCAGTGGAAAGAGTGCTAAGTTTGGAATGAGAAGACCTGGGCTCTATTCTCAGCTCTGCCACTGACTGTGTAACAATAGAATAGGGCAGTTTCACTTCTCTGGGCCTTATTTTCCTCACCAGTAAGATAAGAGGATTGGCCTTGGTGAACTCTAAGGGCCTTTTCCACCCTGAATCTACAATTGTGTGAGCACAGAAGACACTTTTTTAGTAATACAAAGAAGAATTAGGAATTAAAAGTGATATGAAATCAATAAAATTGTTTTTAAGAAATTATAGTCAGTCTCTCTCTCTCTCTCTCTCTCTCTCTCTGTCTCTCTCTCTCTCTCTCTGTCTCTCT